AGGTGAGCGAGCAACTTCGATTCCCAAAAAATACTTGAGTGGACTAAGATCTTTGAGTTTGACTTTGCTAGCAAGAAAAGTCTTGACATCAAGGAGTAAGTTATTATCATCATTGGCTAAAAGAATATCATCTAAATAGACAAGGAGCATGGCAAAGGATGAACCATGTGAAAGAGTGAATAATGAGTGGTCTGCCGTGGATGGATTGAAACCAGCAGTTTGCAAAACTAAAGAGAGTTTATAAAACCAATTGTGGGAGGCTTGTTTAAGCCATAGATGGATTTGTGTAGTCGACAGACACGAGTTTTTCCCTTTTTACAATATCTAGGAGGGGGTTTCATGTAGACTTCTTCGTCGAGATCCCCATGAAGAAAAGCATTGTGCACATCAAGTTGGTATAGGAACCAATTTTTAGCCACGGTGATGGACAAAAGACAGTGAACTGTAACAAGTTTGGCGACAGGAGCAAATGTGTCATGATAGTCCAATCCCTCAATTTGAGTGTAACCCTTAGCCACAAGGCGAGCTTTGTAACTTTCAATAGTACCATTCGCTTTCAATTTTGTTTTGTAAACCCATTTGCACCCAATAGGGTGTTTGCCAGGGGGAAGGGCAGTGAGGGACCTAGTGCCATTAGATTCTAAAGCTATGATTTTGGAGTTCATTGCTTGTCGCCAATGGGCATGACGTGAGGCTTCAGTGTATGAGATGAGATCTGCAATGTTAGTGATATGGGAGAGGAAAAAGCGGTGTTTATGAGAAAATCGCTCATAGCTAAAAAAGGAATGGAGGGAGTAGGACAAACCTGAAGAAGGTCGCAGCGGAGATGAAGTCACGCCATTTATATGTGGAAGGGTAGGACATATGTAATCATGGAGGTGAGGGGGAGGGTGTCGAGTTCGAGTGGGACGAGGTGGTGGTGATGGATCTCAGGGGGGAGAGGCTAGCGGGGCAGCAGGTTCGGTGGTGGTATGGGAGGGAGGTTTGGCTGATAGTGTGTGACGAATGTCAAGAATATTAGTGGGTATGACAATGGTGGATGAGGGTGTTGAAGTAGGGAAGGATAAATGAAATATGTGTTCGTGAAATTGGACATCATGGAGATAAATGTAGTGGCAGTGTCTAAGTCATAGAGAAGATAACCATGATGATTTAAGGGATAGTCAATAAAGACACATCGACGGGCACAAGGGGAGAATTTGTCGCGATTACGACGTAGGGTAGATGCATAGCACAGACAACCTAGGACACGTAAATGATCATAGGAAGGAGTCATGTGATGGAGTAATTCATAGGGTGTTTGTGCATTAAGACAGCGAAAGGCGTTCTATTGATTAAGTAGGTAGCAGTGAGGATGCAATTGCCCCAAAATTTGAAGGGAAGGTGGGCTTGAAAGCGAAGTCAACGGGCAACGTTGAGTAAATGACGGTGCTTGCGTTCGGCAACACCATTTTGTTGAGGTGTTTCAACACAAGTACATTCATGGAGAATGCCATTATTGTTGAAAATTTTTTGAAGATTATGGGCTAAAAATTCTTGGTTGTTATCAATGCGCACATGTTTGATCATACAATTGAATTGAGTTTGGACATAAGCAAAAAAATGGCGGAAGCATGTGTAGGTATCTGATTTTAATTTCATTAAATATGTCCAAGTGCAGTGGGAATAGTCATCGACGATTGTTAAGAAATAATGTGCACCAGATAAAGTAGCAGTGGGATAACCTCCCCATATATCACAAAATATGTGATTACATGTAAAAGTACTTTTGTTGATAGGAGAGTGAAATATTAAACGCGACAATTTGTCTCGAGTACAAACATCACAAGATTGTATGGAATGAAAAATATTTAAGGACTTATTAGGAGTGTGAAGAGATGGATGACCTAGATGTTGGTGCCATATGTGGTCACATGAAGTGGACACGGAAGCTAAACTGGATGGTGGAGTAAAAAAACAGAGACCATGGCAGACTTTACCCACTCCAATCGGCTTCTTCGTCTTGATGTCCTGAAAAACACAAAAGGAAGGGAAAAAAAGGGCAGGGCATTGTGACGATTGAGTAAGTTGTGAAATAGATAAAAGATTGTAACGAAAGTTAGGAAGATAAAGAACATGATGGAGAGTGATATGTGAAGATAAAGAAACTGAACCAACACGGGTGACAACTACTAAGTCACCATTGGGGAGAGTGACTGAGCGTGGATGAGTGATAGGATGAATTGTGGTGAAGGCATCGAGTGAGGAACACATATGGTCGGAGGCACCTGTGTCAATGATCCAAGGACGAGTAATAGAATTCAGGTGAGTGGAGAGAGCAATGGAATTACCAATAAAATTTGCAGTAGATGGTACTGTTGGCTGAAACTGTTGCCTCTGTTCTGGATTGAGACAAGAGCCAAAATATCATTGGAGGATGGAGTAGCACTGGCCTGAGCGGACTAGTTAGCATTGGTTTAACGAGGGCGACGCCAACCGGTGGGGTAATCGATAATACGGGAGCAAGTTGTCTTCCAATGGCCATCTTCACCACAATGAGTGCATTTGGGACGACCGCGCCCATGATTGGAAGGTTTGCACCGCTGTAAAAAAGAGGGACGTGTAGCAAGAGCTACACTTTTCGGAGGCGGCCGAGAGATGTGAAGGAGGCGCTGTGTTTCTTCTTAGTGAAAGATGGAGTAAACCTTCACTAGAGAAGAAAGTGGATCCATTGCTAAGACTTGAGTCCGTAGAGCGGCAAAGGAGTCATGTAAACCAGTTATAAGCTGGAAAACACGTTTAGCAGATTGTGAGGCTTTAAGGTCCTTTAGTGCACCACATGAACATGATGGAGGAGGAGATAAGGCTTCGAGTTCATCCCAAAGATACTTGATTCGGTGATAGTATTCAGTAATGGTGGAGCTACCTTGTTGGAGAGTGGAGAGATCTCGTCGGAGACGAAATAGATGAGGATTGTTACTTTGAGAAAAACGCCCTTCAAGATCTGTCCAAATATCACGGGGGCTGTCATAATAAACCTAGCTGCCGTGGAGAGATTTGTCAATGCTGTTGAGGATCCAAGAGAACGGCATGTCATTGCACCTATCCCACAGTTGAGATTCGACAAGGGAGCTGGTTGGTTTGGTGAGTGAACCGTCCACAAAGCCAAGTTTATTTTTGCCATTGAGGGCTTTCTTCATGGAGCGATGCCAAGTGTGATAATTTTCAGCAGTCAGTAAGGTGGAGACAAGCAGGTAGCCTGGGTGATCTGAGGAGTGTAAGAAATATGGAGAAGATACATCACCAATGAGTTGAGCTATGGTAGGGAGGGTAGCAGAAACTTCATGAGGATTATTGACTAGAGGGCTGTTGGAATTGTTAGACATGGTGGATCAAAAAAAATTAAATAAATAAAGGAAGATGGCGCAGACAAAGAATCATAAGGCTCTGATACCATGTAAAGTGATAAAGAATTGGATTTTCTGTATTAATTCTGTGATGTACAGCCACCTATTTATACAAGCATAATGGCAGACTCTATGGAAAGAAAGATATGCAGCCTGATTATTTGCAATAAGCAACCTGATTATGTGCAGTAGCCTGATTAAGTGCAATTTCCTATACAAATGAAATGTCTAATGAAAGTAAATATACATCTCATATTTTGACATTAAATACACGGATCTTTGACAGAAAATGTCAAATTTAACTTTGTGGAAAAATATATAAAGGGTGCATTCTTTGTGGCTATTTAATACTACATATTAGTTGACATTTAACCAACCAGTAAAGGAAAAACAAATTGGTGACCTTTATTAAAAGAATTATGCTAATTGTACATAAAAATGATACATAAAGAATGATATAAAATGACATAGAGGGAAAAAAATTGGATAAAAAATTTGATTGTATTTTCAACTGATAAATGATAGAGCAGCATGTGTTATTATGTGATCCATTAGATTAAATTTGATGTACATGTAGTAAGATTATTATTAAAAAAAGGGTAGCATTTGTGGCTTTGTCATTAATATGCAGCCAACTTAAGAAATTCAAAGGACGGAAAATTTTGGGGATGATAATGGAGAGAAAAATAAAAATAGAATTTTGAGATTATGTCCATTGATTTTCCTTTAATATAATTCAATTTTTTGAGCTGTATTTTTCCAAAATAAAATCTAAATATGCAAAATTTTTCAAAACTCCATGTTAAACTGAAGACAACTCGCAACTGTTTGATGGGCTAGAGGACTATAACTGAGAAGTTATAATAGTTGGCTTATTAACCAACTTCTAAAATGAAGGAATTGACAAAAAATAGCTCCATAATATTTTTTCTTTAAGAAAACACGAGTGAGGGCAAATCGTCCCCGGCCATAGATAGATAAATTAAACAATGTCGCCCACAATTTCTGATGAAATAAATAACAGAATATTATCGACGCAACTGTTGAGATGTAGGGGTAGTAGTAGCAAAGAAGACAAGCTCATGACCACATATATTTCAATAAGAGAACAAAGCAACACGTACCAATAGTTAAATTGATCAACAATGATTTTGGATCATGCGACGTGCATTATATTCCACCTCTACAATAGATAATCCACACTCTTTTCCAAAGGCTACACCATAATGCAAAGCTAATGAGAAATACGGTCTTTAATAACAACTCCGACGCCAATAAACCCTTCCTCAGGCCGAGTTGCTGGAGTATTGAGAAGTCTGATCCGTTCAAATTAGAGATTTATGTAGATTCTACGGGATGTCATTACAATTTTTTTTCCATTCAACTTTCGATGGTATAGAATAGTGGCTTAGTTGTGCCTTGTGATGGAGAAATCAGGTATTATTAAGATGGAAATTAAACAAAAAAACACATTTAAGAAAGGTGGAAAGCATGCAAATTATCTAACTTTGACATGGAGATATAGTGATGAAGAATAAAAGTATTGGGCTCCTCCAAGTTGGTAAATAGAATGGTAACCTGTACCCCGTTGAAAACAAGCCTCGTGCTAGTAACCACAGTAATTCTAGCCTCAACAGCCAATGATTTAGGATTAAATAATAGTTTTGTGGGGAAACTTCATGGTAAATCCCCTTCGACTGCTCCCCAATACAACATCCAAATCAAGAAAAACATCATATTACTCTAAAAAATGAAATCAGCAAACAAATTTATCTAACGCATTCCAATGTCATGCACAAAGGATTAATGTAAAATTTTTATATAAGTTTAAGAACAGAAGTTGTTCAAAAACGAAAGAAAAGAAGAGTGTCAGGATTATTTCTTGTCTTGATCAACCAGCAACTGTCCCTCTCATCCAAATGCCTACAATCACACTGCATATTCAAATTGAAAAATGTATTTTAGTACGAGTGTATGTTCAACTATTGGAAACCTAATGGCTCAAAATACCTTTAAAACTCTGGTCACACGTGATCCAACTCGGTTTTATGCTAATTGGTGGTAACATAAACACACGCACTAGTGACTTGTTTGGTATACTGGAGTAAAGTAATTGATACTATTAAAAAGGTTAAAACCTTAACAATTATACGATACAATACAATGCACGATACATACTCTGAAAGTTCAAAGCCGAGAAAAGTTAAAGAATTGTTCAGAAAACGGTTCTTCATACCGTAGTGAAAGCATTGCAGCCCGGATTCTTGAAGGTTAGGGTGGGTAGGCTGGAGGCGATAGGAATGTGTATCAAGAGGTACAGTACCAAGTTGAAGAAAAGGCATAGCACTTGCAGACGGATGCAAATCTTGTCCAAAAACTTGAAGCTGATTCAACAAAGGCTGCTCTTCCAGTAATTTGAGTTCTGTCATTGCTTGTTGTTGATGTTGATGCTCCATTGCTTCTGCTTGCCTCTGAATGTGATTGTTCATAAGCTAATCAAGAAAAGTTGCAGTATCAGTGAAATCGACTTTCGATAACAAAAAATTCCAATTATGACGAACTTTCTAGTTTCCCAATGTAATGGGATTATAATTTAAATCCAATTGAGCATTTAAATTATGAATGATGGGGAAACAATTCAAAACATCAAACAAATTATCTGAGATAGAATAGTACTGTATATGCAAGTAGTAAATGTTAGAAATAATTTAACATTAAAATTTACCCAATGGTAAATATCTTGATTTTCCTTCTCCAGCAAATTTTCCTGAAATAGCAGCATAGTGAAATAGTTAAACAATAAAACCGCACATACACGCGCGCACACACAAAGAGAGGTAGATCCCAACTTACTGTCGTCTTCAGATTTTCAAGTTGCTCATCCAGAAGCTGAAACTGAAAACAAGTATATATATAAGTTATTTTGTGAAGAAAAGACAGATGATCCAGATACCAAATTGTTTTTAAGTAGGCGTAACAAATATTCAGCACAAAATAGTTGAGCAAAACAACGCAGCAACAAGTATGAGGGATACTAATTATTTGTAAATTAATTTGCTTTAAACACTACTTTGTAGACAGACTTTTCATCTAAGCTGCAGCAAAATGAAGGGAAACTTTGACGGTGAAAATGTCGAAGTAATGTGGAATTAGGGGGAAAGAAGTGTCACCTTTCTTGCTCGAACCTTGGCAATAGAGATCTCAAGCTGGCGCTCAAGTTCAACCAATTCCTCCAAATGTAAAGAACTCATATCAGTATTTCCTTGGTACCTTTGCACACTCAGTTGAATGTCAGTAATTTTCCTTTTCATTCTTTCCATCTCTGCGTTGAATTGCTCCTGCACGATTTCACAATATCAAAAGATATCATGCGAGAGAAATAATTATGCGGAGAAAAAGATGGTCCTGATTGCTAAGAAGAATCTAATTATTATAAGCAATAACAAAAAGTTCACTTTGTTTACATTGCATGATACTTCTCCCATCCCGGTGTCACGCTGCAATATAGAAGTCCCTTTAGCTTGCATATATCGTTCTATGGTCTGCCTCAAGCTGCAGTAATGAGAAAGGCATTATGATCAACAATTTACACACGAAAGAAAGATTAAAAAAAAATGTATGCAAATTACAATCATATCTAGGAGATTTTTAAGATTAATATTTAATCAATTTTTTTCTGGTTAAACTATTGTCATTTTCCTCTCTTTCGAGATTATTTTCAGAGTCTCGGAATTATTAAGCTGTCAGATAATGTGTTCCCAGAAAATGACAGCAAATAGTAAAGCAAAAACAAAAGTTGTGAGAGTATAGAAAGATTGAACAGATGGTCAAAATTAACAGTTGTTCTTTGTTTCTCATTTACTATAATTATTGAGCCTCTTGTCAACATAAACCGGAGGCTTCTCATGTCTCTACATTTATTCATGAGATTTCCTGCACAAAAACAAAATCAAGGGTCATTCTCATTTTCATTAACATTTCTGTCGGTGCCATTAATTATTTCTTTCAATATTGGTCATTAGAGTAAAAAGTCGACTTAAACCGAGGCTTCTGTCACTGCAATAGGTTGGTATCATCAGATCACTAGGTACTCCCTATACTATATCTTTACTCTTCTTAATAATTGCTATACTTAATATTGCTGCTTATAATATTTAATTAAGAGTGATTAACAATCTTTCTTTACACTCTCATCATTAGAGTAAACTTCTAATTAAAATTCAAAATTCAGAAATCAGAGTGGAAATTTAGAAAACCCTATTTTCCAAGATGAAAATGAAAGTCAAATGAGACAGTGATGCGTAATGGTCCAGACCACATATGCTGAGGCATGTTAATTATCATGTTCAAGAGAGAGAAGAATCTAGGGAGAGAAAAGGAACCCTAGACATTAAGAGAACACTTAAAAAATCTTCAAATAAACAATTCATACCTAAGTAATTACTTAGATATGAGTTGTCAGAAACTAGAAAATATTAACCTAGTCACCATTTCTAATACCGAAATAAAATTTGTCAAAAATGATAATTTTCAAAAATTAAGGTACTGGAAAATCCTTCTACCTCAAAG